TTATATAAATTGAAATTGAGCTTGTCCTATTTCTTCTTTATAATCCTTTTTAAGTCTTCTAATCACACACATGTATTAGTAATTGCAAACTGGAAAATCGACTTTATTTTGTACATGTAAATATAACTTTAAGCTAATAAAAAAAATGTCTCTTTTATTCTCAAAATTTATGATATTTTTCAACATAAATGTTGGAAAATTACATAAAATGTTTCAATGTACCATTCAACATTCATGTACCACATATGCAACATGGATATTTGAATAATTGAGAATTCATGAAAAATATGACTTTATTTTTTCAAAAGCAGGACGTCGACTTTAATGTTACTTAATAAATCAGGTTAAAGCAAGTTTTTATTCTACGAATTTTAATATCATCAAAGATAACTATACTATTTCTGGTGTAGCTGGGACTCGGGTGTGTTTGTGACTCCCAATCATTTCGCCAGGAAATAATTATTTTCATATTTAAAAAACATTTAACGTTTTAATACTCAATAATCAACGCCTGCTTTTTACCTTCAAATAATTATATTCTTGGAAAAGTAAAACACTGTAAAGTCAATTCATACGTGATAAATCAAGAATTTTAAGATTAATTCATTTGTAGAATAAATAAACTTGAAAATTGTGTACATCAAATAAAGAAAAATATCGCATTTTTGGATTGAAATTTTTAAGTTTTTAATTCTAAACAAATCTTGTTTATGTTCCATATGTTTGTTTTTAAAATAAGTTTTGATATAAATTTTGTTTAGTAAATGTTAATTCAATTGAGTCATCTGAAATTGTTTAAATAAAATACGGATTCACAGGTGCTAGTTTAAATAGTGCAAAATAATTTAACAGTTCGTAGAAACGTAAATTAGCGACTCCGAAATATTATTTATACATTGTACTTCTATCTATATCAGTTTCAAAGAAAAGGTGTGTACTGTGAAATATTGAATACATGGATAAATTAACTAGCATGCATTACGTAACATAATAGCAAAAGTGTTCTAAAATAACTTTTTGGCGACCATTGCATATTAAATACGTCAATTCTTGGTAAAAAAAAATGATGCACCAGGTATTATTGACATTGGACCAAAATTCTAGGAGGAATAGCTTTTAAAACGATTTCAAAATAACTTTCTAGATTTTTCCTTTTAATAGTCAAAATTATAGTTGATATAGTAGTTATAGTCAAAATACTAGCAGCTCTCACTAACATGTACCAGTATAGATTAATTTTGATAAAAATGTCTTGAATCTTTTTTTAACTTGGCAACATATTGATTTAAGAAAAGTGAGGTCAAGGTAAAAGGAAAGATCAAGGTCAAAAATACTTATGCAGATAAAAAACTTCCATCAGTATGTATTAAAATATGAAATTTGATAAAAATATCTTGAATGATTTATTTAAAACTGAGCTAAGCACGAATTTTAGAGAAGTGATGCCAAGGTTAAAAGAAAATGGTAATGCAGTTTAATATCTTACGTCAAGGGGTATCAGCATATGAATTTAAAGAAACAAATTTATCAAGGGTAATGGTATAAAAAGTGTTGAAACTTCGTCCGCCTTGGTAATGCTAGTATTCATTTTGGCTATATATGTTTTGCAAATTCAAATGTTCTGAACGTTCCTTTGAGTTTTTAGTACCCGTATTTAATTAACACGCTTTGTCGAATATATGTACGTTATTGGACAGTATTAACCATGAATTCTTTTGTCACTACTTTTGATATTCTAGTGTGGAGAAGATAAGGAGGTTTGGTAGAACATTTACTGGAACCAGCTATGGATTTTTGTTTGCAAGGATTTTGAATAAATTAAGAATCCGGTATGGTAATACTGAAGCATTTATGTTCCTGGTCACATAAAAATGTTTTTAAAAACCAAACAGTTTTTTTTCTTGAAAAAATTCCTCATTAAAAGGGATCTATTTGTATAAGATGAATTACCACTTGTAAATTTAAATTTTAATTCTCCTTAAAATTTTTCTTTATAATAAGCCTTCCAAACAAAGCAAGTGGTGGTACCAGTTTTTTCAGCTATCATGTAAATTGTTCGTGTAATCTATCAAATTCTTTATTCACTTCTGAATTTATAAAAACAGAAGGATATGCGAAAGCAACAGAACGAGCGCTTATACATAATGTGTTCATCAGAACTTCATAAGAATCTACGCATAAAAAACGCGACTTTGTGTTACTTATAAGAATAAGCCTCAAAAATAATTTATTTGTCCAAGCCTTTTAGGAGAATAGTACTCAAGATCAGAAGTCCATTAAACAATAAAAAATAGGAGCAGAGTAAACACGGACCTCCAAAACATTAGAGGTAGGATCAGGTGTCATGGAGGAGTGAGCATCTCCTGCTGACCGATAACACCCGCCGTGTGCTCCTTGTCATGATCGAGAAATAAGTGAAAAAACCGTCGTCAAGTCAGTTTATAAATAATGGACCAACAATCAGTAGGAAAAACGTTAGTCAGCATTTGAATCAATGATTAATTGTATTTGCTGACAAATATATTGGGATATTAAAAATATTCAAAACTGACATATGATTTGAAAGAATTTATTGTCATTGGAAATATAATCCAAAGTATACAAGAATTCTGTAGTTACATACATATCTAAAATTTTGATTACGACGAAAAATATATTAACATACGAGAGCTGTTCAAAAAATAATGTCCTCGGTGCTCGGAAAGAAGCAAGAGACGCTTTTCAATGATTTAGTCTTCATGATTTAACTTATGAATCTCTTTTAATTATAACACATGTCCGTAAGAGTTTTTATCCAATTTTTGATTGTTTTTAGAACTCTTTTTTGGGTATGACCCTTAGTATACTGGAAAATGGCAGATCCAATGATTTCCTGGACTTGTTTCTTCCTTCTGATAGGTGTTTTCTTTTCATGTTTGGAAATAGAATCAAGTCAAAAGGTCAAAGATCTGGCGAATATTATTAATGTAAAAAAACATTTAACTTTCTCTTTATCCAAAAAACCCTTTACTATTCAGGGCGTGCGGATTTAGACGCTGTCATGGAGAAACTTTATGTAGTGGATTCCTGATTGGTCCTTCCTCTCATGAACCTTTCGATTTTTTTTTGCAAAAAATAAATTTGCTTTCTAGCCTCCTCCAGAAATTAAACTGTCTCCCGGAATACGAATTTGAACAACAATACGACTAATATTTAAGAAATTCGATATAAATCTGTCTGTGTGCTCTTTCAATTCTTTGCTCTTGTCAGACCTTCGCTGTTTTTATCAAGTACATCTTATGGTGAATTTTGTTTTGAGGGTTTTAAGCAATAGATTCAAGTTCCATTATCTGTTTGAATATCACACAAACGTAGATAACTACAATAACTGATATTTTAAAGTAATTGTTAAGACATTCGTACACGCTGTCGTTTTCACTCATTTTTCAAAATATAGGGTGACCTTTGAGTACTAAGCTTTTTTTACCGTCAAACGTTTCTTAAGTGTAAACTACCCCCGAAATGATGTCTATTGAATTTGCTATGTGTCTTAAAGTCAATCATACATCATCAAATATTATTTGTTGAAATTTGTCAAAGAGTACATAAGTTGTTATAATTTTTTTTGGCAAGGACGGTACCCATACTTGATGCCCATTATATATTTTTTATCATTTAAATCCAACTGCTCATTTGTCTATAAAACAGGCATTGGTTGCTGTAAATGTCACATATTTCAGTGAATATTTCTTTGGGATTTTTAACAAGTTTTACAGCAGCTTTAATGAAGCGTCTATTTTCACTCTAGTTTACTTCTTCTTTACCATTCATTTATAACGCTGTGTCTCGAATAGCCTTTGTTTTCCAGCTTCTCACAATGAAACTATGTGATGAAAAGGATCACATAAACTGTTATAAATTCATTAAAGATTAAATAATGAGAGAAGGTCAAGCTTAATGTCATATGATATCTGTATTATATGTCATACAGTTCAGGACATTATTTATTGAACAGCCCTCGTACATGTATTAAATTACTGTATCATTTCAATTTTAAATGTCAAATCTATAGAACGAATTTTATAACAAACACTACCTCTTAAGGTAGGTCGCGGGTTTACCCCATAAAATATCTCACGAGAAAACATACCCTGAAAATTTGTCAAATCGTTATTTAGAATTTATATTTCATTGTACGAAAATTTCAGCAATTTTGCCTAAGCCGTTTTTATGCTATACCACTTCAAACTTTGTATTGTTTGAAGTACCAATTAACCGTTTTTCTAATGAAATATATAGGAAAATGAGCATTTTTCTTGTCATTTTACAGACGGAGTTTTTTAAAGAAATTTAATGCAACTTTCAAACGATCTAGACGAATCTATAAAAAATTTCTGAGAGTAGAGAAAAAGTGATTTCCAAGTTATATATGTAAAAAAATTGATATGTCTTCTCGCTAGATTTTTTGCTATTTAATTTTAAACTTTTTAAATTATCAGTAAAAAAAACGCCGCATTTCCGCATTTGACGTTTAAAATGCCGGCGACGTCATAAATACAACGTCAAAAAATTGAACACCATTTTATCTTTCTGTTTGATTATATTATCATATAAAATTTAATTTTGAACTGTGAAAGCTAATATTTTTCCAGACGAAATATTTAGAGGACGGCACATATTTTCTTTTTACATGAATAAAACTACAGACATCCACAAAACTACAGAAAGTGTGAAATCATTCTATTCTCGTACATGTACATATTCTTTCAATCATAACATTGGATTAAACCTGGTTCTTTTCTATGTGATAAGATCTCTTGATATAATACTAGTATTCACTGTAATTGCTTTAGAATGTATAGTAATGGTGATCTTTCTTAAACATGAAAATATAAAAGTATAATTTTCAAACACGGCAAAACAAGAGTATCAGGCTAACTTGACCCTTATGACATACGAGGTCGTTTTCATAGAACCAATGTTCGCATAAACATGTATGAAAGACTTAGGTATTGAATTCTTTATGTATGACATGTATTTGACCCATAGAATACGGAAAGTTTCTCAACAACAGACTCGAGTTTTGTAATTTTCCCTCTCAATATATTCCTTATTCCGTCTTTTCCTGCCCGTTTGCTGGCCAAGGACATGTGCATCTCACTAATTCCCTGCGCGGCTAGATTGCTGCTTTGTGTTTTTGAAAGTACATTTTGGTCTATCAAGCGACTAAAACTTTCGAAATACATTTTCTTGTTTATCAGTTTTTGATTATTTACTAGAACACTATCGGTTGAAAATAAGTTCGCCATCAGTTTTTCATGAACGTCCGATACCCTTTTCAATAAATTCGTCAATACATTTACGTCAGCTTCTGCATTATGCAATTGCAAGTTTTCATTCTGATCATCAATAAGATCTGTTGTCAGACTCTCCAGTTTGTATGAGCTTCTACCTGGGAATTCGTTTTTGAAAAGTTTTAGGGTATCACTGAATCCAGAGATATCTTTCAAATTATCCTCCATTTTGAGCCTGCAGATGGTTGAAACAAGGATGCGCGCATCAAACTTGGCGTTGTGAGCAACCAGAACTGGTGACTTATGTTTTTTTAACCATACCAAGAATTCACCAATAGCACGTTCGCATGTTGTGGATTCAACTGGAATAAGGTTATAATACATGGTCAACCCATGAACTTCAATACCAGTAAGTTTTGACACTGTAGACGGGATGAAACCGTTTTGTGGCATGACGAATCTCACAAAGTGATCAGATGTTTTCAACTCTCTCGCCGCAATTTGGATAATACTGCTATCGGTAGCTAAAAATAAACACGAAAATACGTAATTTTAATTCAGAAAATTATTGTAGAGTTCTTGATTTTAATATTTTCATTATTATATATGTAAAACACTCACCGAATCCTGTGGTTTCTAGGTCAATGATTACAACTGATGTGGAAGTGGATACAAGGGTGTTCGTTGTCCGTTTTTTAGTGGTTGCTGGCAACGGAATTTCTTGTATTTCTTCATCAAGCTGACCCTCTTCTTTATTTAGTGTAACACCTGATTCATAAGTAGTTCCTTCCCTCAGTTCCTCCATCACTTGCACAGTATGTCGATTTTCCTTCGCTTTTAGTCGCTCCCTTTTTGCCTGGATAGTCCCCTGTTTAACCTTTTTTACATTTCTCTTTTGGTCCAGTTTGTGAAACCTCTCTGTAGCATGTTTCCCAGGTGAGAGATTGCACGTTTTATTGACCTTAATAAATAGAAAATTTTTTTTTACATCCACAAGGTTTGAATTGTTCTTATAACAAGAATAGATATGGGTTACCCCATATCCAAAGATATTCGACTTTTAGATTTAATATGTTTAACAGTGTTTATAATGACGTTAATAAAAAAAAACTACACTGTCTAATTATAGAACTGTTGTAAATTTCGTGAGTCCATAGCATTACGGTCACCTAGTCTCGTAACAAACAGTACACATAGGCCTACATGTACCTGTGTCCGCAAGACCAACATTAGCCTTGGTCTACACACGTGCGATGGAGCTGTCAAACGCATCCAGCGAGCTCGGAGAAACACGTTTTGTTTTGCGAGAAGTTACGATGGCAGACAAAACTTTTCTTTTCTTGATTATATCATATGAATACGAATTCTGATTAATAAAAATTATACAATCCCTGTTGAACTATATATAGTTTGTTCTAACATTTGCATCTGCAACAACTTGTGTTTAAAATGGCCGGGTTAGGAAAATCAGGACCGGGTCGGAAAATTCTAAACTGAAAACCTTTTTTGTTTTGAAAATTACTGAAATATACGAATGTATTCGTCGCAGAAATTACTTACATTATTCAAGTTCTATATAAAATGGTATGCTGAACTTCAACACGAACCCGAATCTCCGACCCAGTTCTCGTTTTGCCACACATACCCTACAGTTTACAAAGTGTACACACGAGCAGAATCCGGCCACACAGAATGATTAATTTTTTCTTTAAGAAGAAATTGTATGATAATTAACGGACTATAAACATGTACTTAATATAGTATTATCAATTCATCGGTGAAAAGATATGAATCGAAGAATGACCTAAATATTCTCTGTTATCAAACATGTAAAAAAAAAAAAAGGCTGAGGAGGGAGCGAGCGTAGGAATATTGATATTTTTTATTTGCATTTCGGGGGAAAAGTGACTTTCCAATAATATTTTGACGTTATTTTTGATTTCTTTAACGTATGACATACACAACTTTACTCTAATCATGAACAATAATGTTGTATCTACTTAATCATGATGGAACTATTTTGGTCGGACCAATTTGTGTGAGCCGCCGCTGAATACAGTAATATATCTTGCATTAATAGTATGCATTGATCGAATATATTAAAAAGGATTAATTACCCCACCCCCTCAAAGTTTAATGAAAAGATAACTTAATTATCATACCTCTAACAGATACCGATGACCCTCATTTTTCTGTGCTATAGATGCAGAAAGGCGATAAGCTAAACTTTCTGACCCGGAGTAATGCTGTGATTTGGGGGCCTTCTTTGCAATCATATGGTTGAGATTCTCATTAGCATTCGAAGACTCCAGATCTGAGAATTTGTCAGCGTTGGTAGTATATTTAGCAAAAATGCTGGATAATGACTCCCGCAAGCCTTCATCTTCCAGGTCTCTTCCGTGTGGTAGCGACTTGTGTTTGTAGGAAGTTGGGTCTTTCAAAAATCCACACCACTTTTCATTACACTTAACATGTTCTCCAAAGGCATGAGGGACAATGGCCTCTAGATTTTCCCGAAGGGATGCTGGGCTACCCCTGTTTTGCTGCACTGCGTAAGAAAAACACTTTTTGAAATAATTGATAATCTTCACGCTCAAATTTTTGTTTCCCTGACGAAGTTTGTACAAATTGCTCGTAAGATTCTTAACTACATGATTTTTGTCGCTTGATTTTGTTAATTCTGGAGAAATTGCCTTTTTTGCTCTGATGAATGTGGTAGTGTCATCATCCATGGTAAGTTTTTTTACATCAAAGCCTTTGTCTTTTAATGATTTCAAACATTTTACTGTTAAAAAAGGCTCCATCCCTTTTGCCGAACCTGACCAATTTCTTTTACAATTGTGAGTTTTAGCTTGTTTTTTCTTTCTCCTGGCATGTGTGCATTTTCTGCAGGACCTGCAGGCCAAACCGAATGCAAGGCATTTTTTGGTATGCTTTCCAACGACTGTTACATGCCCTGAGAGGCTGTCATAGTTTTGCCCTGTCCCTCGCTTTTGCCAAGCGCCGTCACAGGAAACCTGTGGAGCTTGGGTACCGTCACCGCTAAAACAGATTAAAGAAACCTTATATTTTATAACATTCTATGTATTATTTGTATGCTTACGTTACTTTTTACAAACACGAATGAGCTGCAGAACTGAAGATCTCTGCTTGAGAAATTGTCAAAATTTTTAGAGCTACATGTACAGATCTGCAGCTATGCATCCAGGGAAGTAGGGGAAGGGGGGGGGGGGCTTAGTGATATCAGTTACTTTAGTATATATTAGGGATGGCAATTTCTAATCGGTTAACCGGTTACTCGGTCGGAACGATGGTAATCAGTTAGAAATTTTGTAATCAGGTTAGTCGGAAAAAAATTTAAATTTTTGTAAATTTGAACACAATAGCCTAAAATTTCAATTTAAAAAAAACTCATATAAAAGATAAAGTGTTCTAGTGTTGAGAGGATTATGGAAAGAAATTTGCTAGTTGATGGGTAACCGGGTTTTTAAATACTTATTGCATTAAAATTAATAAAAATATTTAAAATCATTGCATTGTTGACTTTTAATTGAGAGTGATTTGGAGATAATTAAGACTTCTTGACATCTAAGGGGTAATTGGTCAGTTTTTGCGATGTTAATTGTGGTTTAAACACCATGCCGTTAGTCAGCCTGTACTACGTTTCTTTAATGATTTTAATTAAATGATTGATCAGCAGCGTAGCTGATTATAATGTGTATCTTCCCCCCCCTTCTATCCGTTATAATTACTTATCAAATTATATTATCAAACAAACATTGTAAATTAAGCGAAAGTTTAGACTTCATATTGATTATTCTGGCAATACGACATAAGCCTCTGTAAGATTTCTGATTTTTTAAAAATGTATCTGAGACTTCCATGCCTTCTTTTGTGTTATTTTTCTTTGTTTTGTCTTAAATTTTCAAAATGAAATAAAATATAAATAGTGTTCTGATAAAATATGAACATATTATTTCTGCAGGTAACATCCTCTTGGCCTTGTTTATTTTAGGAAAGCTTTTAAAAAATTATGAAATCTGCAGAGAATTTTTGATACGATTAACCGATTAATCGGTCGGAATGTCTTGCGGTTAACCGATTGGCGATTCTGTATTCGATTGCCATCCCTGGTATATATGGATTTAGTTGCTAAAAAATATAGCGTGTCCTACACTCTAAATGACAGTAAACTTTTACTGATGTTATACCTGTTTGTGCATATATGTAACTTTTCCTCCTCCAAGGCCATATTGCAGGATTTATCTGCAATTTCTTCAAATGCACGCCCCACCTCTCTTTCTCTTTCTTTCAAGGTTTTGTGGTGTATCGTTGGAATATTTAATTCGGCCAAAATGTTGTTTATTTGTTGCTCCCCAATTCCAACATTAATCATTGCTGTAATTGTGTAAAATTGAAACTCAATACCAACCAAATTCAAATACCGTAATGACTTCGAGAATAGGAAGTATATATTTCTGCTAATATATATATTTCTTTAATTCTTTCAAATCGATAAATCTTTTTTTTTCTTTTACGTGTATTATTGAAAAGAGCTTTCTACTTTAAGCGCATTTATAGTATGCGACATAGCCTCTACAATATAGGGCATTTACAAATATCGTTTTATGATTTTTAGTAAATCTAGTTATAAACTTATAATTATACATTCACAAAATTTTACTTAATTTATTAAATATTTTATTTAAGAAATAAATATGAAAATATATCGATAGCAATATGTACATGTATTTTCATTAGACATATAAGCATGGTAGTATGCAAGTGCGCTCTCTCTATCTATCTATCTCTCTCTCTTGGTATGGAATACATATATTTTCGGGACATTTTATTGTAAATGATTCCAGGGCTATAAAATCACAGGTGTCTTTCAATTTTAACGATTTCTTCAGAAAATAATAAATGCATTTCGCATAAAAGAAAGTTATAGGTATGGGTTACCGCCAACTTACCGGTATACCAATTACACATATCCGTTATCACTTGATTTCGTATTATCTTAAAACATCGAGAGAAAAAAATAAAACGCACATCGCAGGCACGTACCAACATAGGGGAGAGGGGAGGGGGTGCCCCCCCCCCCCCCACTTTATCCAAACCATAACTTTTATTATTGAATATGTCAATTGAAAGAATGGTCGATCCACTTTTTGATTCAGTAAATTGAAAAAGGGAAATTAGCGTTGTATGCACAAAAATCGGTACTGAAAGAAGTTGTTATTCAATTGCCAATTCTTTACCACCACCCCACCCCACCCCCCCCCCCTCCCCCTCACATACTCAATAATTATATTTTCGAGTTTCCTTTTTATTTGCTTAACATCTTTTATAGGCAAGTAAAAAAAAATTATGTGGCTGGTCCGCCACTTTCAAAAACGATGCTACGTCACTACAACGACCCATGTTCATTGATTATTTTTACCAAAGTGTACAGCCACTTACCTGCTGCAAGTTTTGTGTTGACGTCAAAACATTTAGCTGGACCAGTTTGGTTTGCTGTGTTATGTTTTTTTCCTGTATACACTGGGCTGATTTCATTGCACTCCGAACATTTTATGTAAAAAATGGAGGCTAAACCATATTTTCTTTCGCTTACGCACCATTCTAATCTTAGTGAATTCGAGCAATGAAGACACGATCGTAAACCCTCAATCAAAGTATCTAGTTCTATGATTCTTCTTTCTCCATTCCAAAAACTGCCTTGACTGTCCTGCGACTCCTCAGATGTCTGATTTTTTTCAGCACTCTTAACTTCTTTTTTGGTAAACAATTTTAAATTCGATAATCTTCTGCGAGTTCTTGTTGATATAATTCTTCCTTTGTGCCGCATTTTCAAGATTTGAATATTGAATCTTTGACAGGTAATGCTATTGTGACGTAATTTTATAAGTTAAAAAATCAAGCAATTTCCCGCGGAAATGCAATGTATCTTTGTATAATGAGTATATATTTTAAAAAAGAATTTTAAAACCACATACAAAATACAATTATAGGGGGGGGGGGGGGGGGGGCTAATATTTGTTTTTTGTTTTCCCAAGTGTCAAATTGTAATTTTTGAATTTACCGGGTGTTAATCAATACAAAAATTACAATATGACAACTATATTGTAATTTGTGTTTTTTCTTCCACCCGGTATATTAAAAAATTTCAATATGACGCAAGCAAAATTAAAATTTTTGAAAAAAAAATTAATAAATCATATAATGACACTTTTAGGAGGCATACGAAAGGTGATAAATGAGATATAGTATTTTTTTTTCTAAATTACTAAGAAACCTAAAAAAAAAATTGCTTCATTTTCTGCTGTAAAGTACATGTAAATATAATATTGGTTTTTCTATAGGACATGGTTACACCTTGTAGTGGGCCTCCGGTAATTCCTACTGGCCTGTAAACTATTCACTATTTTTGTTATTGCATCATAAAGGAATATAAAGTAAAATGTAAATAGATCTGTAAAATGAAAAATGATTTAAAAAATGATATATATATATATATTTAATTCTAAATCAGATGATGCTGAACATCATGCTTGTTCTGTAGTGTTGTCATGTTTTTGCTTGTGAGATTTAATCGCTGAACCTGAGGATTACAACATATTTGACAGACACATGTCCCCGGCCCTCTCCGTGTCGATTGTTTCAAGTCGGTGTATGACTTCATTACTAGTATATTACATGTATTCAATTCGACTGAAGAAATTTTAATATTACGTAATAATAATAGTAATATATTGTTTTATTTTACTGGTGATTCCTACATGATGAGTTTATATTACTAATTAAAAATATAGATACAATAAATAAGTTTATCAAAACTCTTTATTAGTCAGCAATTGGCATTATAGAAAGTGAAGCGGGAAATCATTTGACGTCTTCATTGTGACGTCATAAACGAATGTGCACAAAACGGCTTCTTGAATCGTCTAAGTTGTGTACAGAATATGATGACGAAAGCAAACCCGCGACCTACCTTAAGAGTATTTTTCTTATAATTTCGATTAAAACCCCAGTCATATTTCCAAAAACGATCGACGGCCGACCGACGACTTTTCAGACAAAAATAGAAGTCTTCAAGCGACAGTCGACAGTTCATCAGCCGTTGTCTTGCCCGATTTTGACCTCTTCTTTGTCGGCCGACCAATTTTGTGTCAGTAGGTTTAAGTTAAATATTTTTTTTCTGCGTCGGTGGCCGATTCCCTCAAATAAAGCAGTCGTTGAATAGTCCTTCAATCATCGACCATCGACATACAATTTGTAAAGTCTTTCGTAAATCTCAGGGGCGTAGCAACGGGGGGGGGGGGGGGGGGGGGCAGTTTTTTCACCAACCTTACTTATACTATAGGAAATGTTAATTGAAAGCCTGGTTGGCCCCCCACTTTTAGTGATGTACGGTACCGAAAATGTAGTATTAGAATTGGTACTGAAAGTAGTTGACACTGAGAAAAAAGTTTACCCCCCCCCCCCCCCACCACGAAATAGGATTTTCGACTTTGGGTAACTTCTTCCTTTTTTTTGTTTGCTTGTCAACTTTTTCAGGTAAGTAAAAAAAAAAAATTCTCTGGCTGAACCCCCCCCACTTTCAAAAACGATGCTACGCGCCTGAATCTGACCACATTTAGGAATTGGGTTAATTTCATAAATGTCGGGCGACGTTGGAAATCAAACTACGGCCCAGCGAATGATGATTGGGCGATGGTTGCCCGACTTACAGATATTTTAACTTATAAAGGAATCGTTGATGCTAGGAATTAATGTCACTTCTCTGCGTTGCCCGATACTAATGTCGGCCGATATTTTCTTCAGCCATGATAAGAGAAAAATTTGGTCGCCTAATATGACCTAGGCATAACTGCAGATTGTTGCCTCAAGAGTCCTATTCTTGCCTAAAAAACTGTTGGCCATCGATCGTGTTTTGAAATGTGACTGGGGTTTAAGTGTGACTGTATTGTCATTTGAGGCGACGAAATAACTTGTCGTATTTTACCGGTATTAGAATTTTGATCTATCCTATTCAAGCACATGCAGTTGTTTCGGAAATAATTTTTTAACCAAAAGTAAAATAATTCTAGCTGACTTATAAAGTTTTCTGTCCGTGAGTGTGTTTTTTTTTGAGATTGTCTGTATAAACAGGATGCACTAATATTATTCTAACTAGAAAAGTAGAATATAATTTGAATGATATATCCTCAAGGGCATAAAATATTAAAAGTTCGTTATTTATATGCTATAGGCTATTTCAAAAGGAAAAAATTCAAGTTGATTTAAGACCGCGGAACATTAACTGGCAAAATTGGAAATATACAGCTTACGTCATTTCTATCTGTTACAATCAAAACATTCAGTGATAGACAATGTAATGGGCGGGTACAATTCGACGCGGACGTTTGGAAAACATTCATTTTCAATCCACCTCAGCTACGCTAGAAGGCACATTATTACTGATTGACCCAGAAGACAAATAATTTCAATTTTGGTACAGTTTGAATTTTTTTGTCTAGTGTTTTAAATGAATAAATATTTAAGGGACAAATATTTCATTTCTGTTCGGTATATACATGTATATCTTAGTGTTGGTGATGGTGGTGGTGGTGGGGGGGGGGGGTTGAACGATTTTTTAATAAAGTTGTCCAACAGTTTTCAGTGAAAATAAGTATAAAACTCATGCACTCTTATAATCCTAGAAATAAAATATATTGTCATGTTAAGCCATGGCCTGACTCGACAATTTTTACCCCCCCCCCCCCCCCCCCTTCTAGAATCAAATATCTCCTGAAAAATAATCTTTGTCTTGTATGACCTTTCTCGTTCTTAAAATTATAACAACAATATGTATTTGGGAGTTGAAATATAGTTGATTTTTGGATCATACATTCACTCTTTGCTTTGAAAACATCTCAGGTGGATTGAAAATGAATTTCAATCCGATGTTTTCCAAACGTCCGCGTCGAATTGTACCCGCCCATTTCCTTATCTATCACTGAATGTTTTGATTGTAAACAGATAGAAATGACGTAAGCTGTATATTTCCAATTTTGCCAGTTAATGTTCCGCGGTCTTAAATTAAAAAGCCTATCTTTCATGGTACGGACAAGGACTTCTGAAGCCCAAAATGAATTGCATTGCGAATTCCACTGAAAGATTTGTCCTTAAATCAATTCCAATAAACGTCCTCCTTTTACATTGCAACTTTGGTTAAATGAGCATTCTTATTTTAAAAATAAAACATAGTGCAGCCACTGTGTAGGACTGGTTTAAGGTACATATTTAGACTTTAAAATTCAAGCTAATTGAAATTTGATATTCTGTATCCGCTCCCGCTTCTCATTTGAGAACCGGTAGCGGGTTCGGAACATCTAAGTAGCTCTATAGACGCTAATCTGGAAAAAAGGAAGTAAATTCAATGAATTCCGTTACAGACACTCGCTCAATGGTTCGCTCTCATCAAGTTTTGGGCAACAATGGAGCCCAGCACTTACGGAATTGCAGATATGAAACTAAGAATAAAACGCTCGGGCTCAATTTTCTCGGACAATGTGAACCAGTCAACTTCTTGTACGACATTTTATGAACCACTCTCCACCATCATCTTGTTCCACTAGACTTATTACATAGATACGAATATATCTACGAACTTTTTTATAATGACATAGTAAAGGTGTGATTAGAGATCTAAAAGTCTGCATGGTTCTAGACTTGTACTCCGTTTGTGCCGTAGTACATGTACTCCTTGGGTGTACGACGACTACAGGTGTTACTCCTTGGGAATACATGTAGGGAGTACATTATTGACCTATAATTCAACTTTCTGCGTGTTGATGCATAAAAGACAAAAGGGAATATAGATGTACATTGGTTACAGCTCTACATCCTATGAGTACATGGAATAAAATTCAACTCCCTGTGATTATCTGCCCCAGAGCGTCTTTTTCCATAACATGATCACAGGTCTACGTAATGACTGTAAGTACATAAGCTTACTGAAATACATCTAATTGGGAGTGCATGACTATGCGAAAAGTCTACTCATTGGAGGTATATACTGGAATATTGGTCCTATACTTCTTGGTTAAAGAAGTCTGAAACACCTACCTCTTCTACAATATACATGTCACAGGTGGTGAAAGGTCAAGTCTCAACCGGGACTCGAACCCAGGGCCTCTGACGTACTGTGCCAGCCGCTCTAACCAACTGAGCTATTGAGACCCGATATATTGACTGACCCTCACGCACCTGTGAACCCGGTGACATATTCCCCCTCTTCGTAGAAATTCGTCCCCGAATTCTATGAGTTAAGGAAATGCGTGAAGCATATTCCAAAGGAACAGTGGGTTTTTTCGTGGGGCGCCAAATGTCACAGGTGGTGAAAGGTCAAGTCTCAACCGGGACTCGAACCCAGGGCCTCTGGCGTACCGTGCCAGCGCTCTAACAAACTGAGCTATTGAGACCCGTTATATTGACTCAACCCGGTGACATACATGTTATTGATTTAGCCAAGAAATTTATGTTAATCAGTGTCAAACATCTCCCATGTATGGTAGTACTTTGTCAATAATCAAAATACAGTATTATATAATCTTACTAAAATCTACAGGTAAAACAATTTCCGACTGTATTTTGATGAATATAGTATAAACCGCCTCATCACTGCCAAAGATCTGAAGTCTTTAATTACATGGCCATTGGGAATCCTTCACTCTAACCCCCTCTGAAATAACAACATACCTCTAGGGCCAGGACTCCAAGATCTGGGGTGGAGAAAATCGTTTCCAGGAAGTGGAGCGACTCCTCGTCCGTTGTGCGGGTAGCTCCACTCATTGTCTGTTGTACCATTGGTAAACGTTTAGGGCATGGCACCAGATGCTTAAATTATAAAGAATATTACATTTTCATCTGGAAATTAACCCCATGCGAGAAGTTTTAGAAACAACACTGGAAATGAAATATAATGCAGGTAGCTCCATTTATATAATATCCCCAAAGTTTCACAGAATAGAGAGGTTTCAAATATGAAGGAAAATAAAGCCGAGCTTTGGTTGTCACTTTTAAGTACGTGTAGTTGGTCTCCATACGTTTAAATATTCTGATTGGAATTTTGTAAAGTCGTCATACATTTTTGTAAAAATTAATTTCATGAAAAATAGCCGATTACAAATAAAATTCGTTACAATACTTCCTTTTTGATCTTTAAATAGTATTTTAATTAAGTTTCAAAGGGAAATTAAGGAGGAAGTATAGACTTCCTCTACTACTAGGCCTACTTCTTCTTTAGGTTGCTTCCAGATTTGATTACAAACATTGGTTCAAGAAAGCCGCAGCTCATTAAAAAAAATAGGGCGATGCATCGAAAGTTTTAAAAATAATTCGTATCTTCCTTTTCATTATTCTGCATATAAATTTTAATATTAATATTTGACATATAGCTCTTTAGAAAAGATAATATTTAATTCTCTTAAAGAGGACATATCTAGTGAGGGGGATATTAGAAACCTTGTTAAAACAATTTTCTGAATTTTTATTAATTGATTAAACATGTACAAGTACTTAACCAAATTGACAACTTTCATGATGCAATGTAAAAATAACCTGGGGAACGTTCTAAAATAAGCAAATTGTTAACGACATGCACCTGTCAGTTACTATATCTATAGTTTGCATTAATTCATAAGCAAGAAGAAGCTTTTCGGCAGGCAGACAGGTTATGCAGTACATCATTCTGCTTTAGTTTTCTAAGGATTTACACGACTGTGTATAATTTTATTTACAAATACTGATACTGGTCAGAATTTTCCTCGTGCAACCTTAATGCTCGAGTGCATCTACATCTAGCCTATAAAAAGCACACGTCCTTTTTTTTTTTAATTTTTACATTGTGCAACTGCAACTCTGCTTCGCATGCGAAAATTTACATGCGCCAATATTAACTATGGAAAGAATAGATGCAATATTTCCATACCAAAATTTAACCCTAAAATTCTTCAATGTGATAGATGTTTTAATATTTAAATTATTTTTTCTGCAGTTGGAAAATGAAAGTTCTTACCTCCTTCTGCAATATGTGACTTTCTGTTTTTCAAATTTACACATGCGTTTTGTTATCTTAATAAGTAAACATACTCTTTCTACAATACTTAGAATTGCAAGTTTTTTCTACGAATTGATATTCAAATCTATATTGAGATCTTTCCACGAAATTCATTGAACCATGAATTCCCATTAAAACAGTAGTAAATCGAAAACGAAAGCAGACCATCTGTCATGGAGACCACATATTCGATAAGGTCGCTTCAAATTCATGATAGCCTACCCTCTGTATACAACAAAGTCTTCTCATAGCAGCTGGCATCTTTAATCGATAAATAAACAGAAGAAAATGTTTGTTAAACATTTGTATTTATTCCCTATCGTGAATATTTCCGTTATTTATCTTGACCCCGACATGCTAAGTCGCCATTAGAATATTCGACTCCATTGTAAATAAGGAAGAGAATGATTCTAAGAAGTATAATGACATCTTTAGCACTCTCTGAATTTTCCCCACTTTTAAAAACCATTGAAAAGAAAACGCGGTTCTGCAATTTTAAAAAAATTAGCTAATTTCGACTTAAGAACAGTACGAGTTACTAGTTTAATGCTTATATCAAAATAAAAAAAATATATAGCGTTTATTAAAATAATGGATTTTTAAAAGATTTATTTTACATGTACATTCTGTAACTGAAATTTATTGAAAAGACATTTGCAAGTATGATTTGATTATACAACCAAAACAATAATTTGGTTTTGTATTTATTTTGCGTGATAGTAAGCGGCCTTTTCACATGTCGGTGAAAAAAATGATGTTTTGCAAAAGTTGCCTAACATTGCTTCATAGAGTGAGAAAAAGTATTGTTCCTATTCGAAATGTCTCCAGAATTTCTTCATCATCCTTTGATGACTGGAATAAAGCTGTGTCGGACGCGGAGAAAATCGTTGGGTACCCAACGTCATTCATGAGTCTTCGCTGTTTGATAAGTGACGAGTTCTCCAATGTTGCCATGCACTTGAGAAAATTAGTCGGCACGCGACATCCTCTTTTAAAGACTGCTAGGTACACATTGTATGAATCTCCTTTCATTTGAATTTATAGATTCAGATAATTTAATTTTATCTATTGAGCTACAGTGAAGTCGCCAATTCCGGGTCACGTCAGGATGTTTCGTTGATATTTTGCAAATCTGTTCAATTTATATGTTATGCAATATATGTATTGAAAGAACAAATAGTGAGTCATCCAAACACTTTTTCGTTTTCAAAGAAGCTACACGGGAACAATATTTACAGGGGTATTTCAGCAAGACCTAGCTTCCCCAGTTACGAATCATTTTCTCCATTTCCGGGTCATGTGACTTCACGGTCGTGTAATATTCATGGAACGTTTCGGAACTCGATTTTTATGATGTTATAACATAAAACAATTCATGCAGCTTGGAGAAAAAGTAAAACAACCACAGATATATGTTTAAATTATTTTTAAAACAATTATAACAAAACAAATTGCAGTATGCAGAATTAAAAAAATGTTTGGGATTAAAAATAATCCAATTAAATTCATTTATTTAAAAAATGCATTTGAAGGGTTAACTCGATTTTAGTTTTTAGAACAAATATTTTCCAGTTAGAATAATTTTGCTAATCAAGGTAAATACATGGTTGTCAACTGGTTTTGTACATAGAATTTTGACATGTTCATGCCACGAGATTGCGTGACCTGCAATTGGAGAAACTACTACAGTTTGATTTAATAATAATTATAATTTTATTTGAGCAGCGATCATTATGATTGATTTCTGAGTTAAAAGTAAATGCATTTGCCATACTTTCGAGCTCTTATTATTTATCTAGATCCTTTATATCAGCCTTTCTGCAGCAAACAAAAACGAAAGTAGCCAGTCACTGCAGCAGAAACGTCCAAGTCTTTATTGCATGCGTTTCAGAATTTCGATTGTCGGATGCTCTCTTAAAGTTGATATTCAAAATTTTGTAATTAATTACATACAGAAAGACCAGTTCTTCATGACCAGCGTATTCATTAAGTTTTTTGGGCTTGAATTTTAACACTATGGCATAAAATACTTGCAAGTGACCCAGAATTGGAGACGACCCGGAATTGGCGACTCCACTGTATCATATATTTGTCAGATTTGAAAAAGTAGAGCAAAATTGATAGAGCAAATGAATGTATGCACCAGGTCCTGGAAAATCACTATATTTAGCTATATAGCTTAATTTACCTATACAGCTTTATTCACCTTTATAATATAGCTTTATTTAGCTATTTTAGAATAAGTTTCTGTTTTATGAAAAGCAGACAAAAACTCGCATGAAAATTATGGCTGATATTTTTTTTAAAAAGGTTTGATAAAAACAACCTAGGGCATTGATAGTAAAAAGATTGTCTTTTTAAACACTTTTTACCAAAAAAAATGCATCTCTATTGTTTGGATAGCTGTCCCTCACTGGATGTGCGATGAGGTATGACTAAGTGTGAATGCCTTGTATTGTGCTAAATTATTACCAATCAATTATCTTGTTGACCAAAACTGCTTTTCTTTGTTAAAGTAGCTGCTTAATCACAGCTTAACTGTTATACATAGCCCCAAAACTTTTAGATCTTTGATTGCAATTGCACAAAAGGAGAAACATTTTTTGAAGTGGGTTTTTGGTGAATTGTTTTCAGTTCATTTCAAAATTGAAAACTAATACTGCCTCATTATGTGACTTTTTGTCTGCTTTTCATAAAACAGAAATTTACTCTGAAATAGTTAAATAAAGCTGTATTATATAGGTAAATAAAGCTATGTAGGTAGATTTAGCTATATAGCTAAATATAGTGATTTTCCTACACCAGTGACCTGTGCACTAGAGGCATTTCTGACTCTGGATGAAAAGTATGAAGTAATTACTTTAGCTAATATTACATGTTTTACTGTGAGTCCGTTTGGGCGAGGGCAGATTCAAACAACTCGTACACATATTAAAGTTTGATCTAACTCTTAGACTTTAAACTACACAAGACAGTTGAGCTTGCTCTGCTGGCTAATGATTTTGAGATAATAAAGAAGAATTCAGCTGGGTATCTATTGATAGATCCTTTTCAATCAATCTTAAATGTGTCCTTATAAGCAATGAGTATTTCATAGTGAATGTTTCTGTTTTACAGAGGTTTGCTGTATGATGGTAAACAGAACACACAAACACGAGGGCTGATTGTCCTTCTCATTGCTAAAGCAGCAGGCCCAGGGCCGACTGAACAGGATAGAGCACAAGACAAGATCAGTGGAATATACTCTAGGTAAATAGCTTTATATGGAGGAATATTATTGAACCTTAGTCTGCAGTGATTCAGTGATCTGTAAGGGCTAACTTTGGAAATGTAAGGGTTTACCTTTCCTGTTGATAACTTTGTATATATTTACAGCCTACAATATTTTTGAAAAGCTTTCATTGGTTTTTTTTTCTACAATGCAGAAGCTATGACTTTTATTTATCTGATATTAAAATTGTTGTGACCTATTTATGTAAATGGAAGCAGGTATTTTATCAGGAGTTATTCTTCTTTGCTTTTGAGGGCAATGAATTTTGTGTTCAACTTGATTCAGATTAAGTTTAATTCTCATATTTTATCAGCCAAAGATCCCTTGCAGAGGTCACAGAAATGATCCACACAGCTAATCTCATACATAAAGGAGTGGTTAATCTGGATGATTATGTAGACAGTGACCACAGGGAGAAAAAGGACATGGAATTTGGAAATAAAATGGCTGTCCTCAGTGGAGACTTTTTACTGGCTAATGCATGCACTGAACTAGCCACTCTAAATAACACAAAAGTTAGAATTGTTGTTGAAACTGCAAAGTCATCCTATACATGTAAATGACCTTTAATTGATAACGGGTTTAATTGAGACATTCAAAATGGCAATTTTTGAAGAAAAAAAGTAAATTTTCATTTTCAGCATATTGATGCATACAATATGTACGTGTATTTAGGTTACTAAAGTAATTACCTTGTAACTTTTTTCTATTTTGTTTTTCGATTGCAATAAGAACAAATTCTAATTTATCATCCTGTTTTAAATTGTTAGGTTGTGGAGAAATCAATGACAAAAATAGGGTGGGTCATTAAAAAATCTTCTTCTCAAGAACCACTGGGCCAGAAAAGCTGAAACTTATGTGGAAGCATCCTAGGGTACTGCAGATTCTAAATTGTTAAAATCATGACACAATGGGGAATCAAAGTTTTACATAGAAATATATAGGAAAAATCTTTGAAAATCTTCTTCTCAAGACCACAGGGCCAGAAAAGCTGAAACTTATGTGGAAGCATCCTAGGGTAGTGTAGATTCTAAATTGTTCAAATCATGACCCCTGGGGGAAGGGCGGGGCCACAATGGGTAATCAAAGTTTTACATAGAAATATATAGGAAAAATCTTCTTCTCAAGAACCACTGGGCCAGAAAAGCTGAAACTTATGTGCACATGGAAGGATCATGGGGTAGTGTAGATTTCAAATGTCTAAATTATGATCAGTGGGGTAGGGTGGGGATGCATTATGTATTAAGGGGGAAATCTGGTAAAGAACAGAATGGTCAAAGCTTCTCAGGTGAGCGATGTGGCCCGTGGGCCTCTTGTTTCTATTTTGTTTTTCGATTGCAATAAGAACAAATTCTAATTTATCATTGTTATTAGGTTGTGGAAACAATGTCATTGGCAATCACAGAGCTAATGGAAGCAGAATTCACAGACCTGAGAGATCCCAGAGGGGAGTGCATACTAAAGTCAGACATCCAGTTCTCTGATTGGGTAAGACAGACATATTTGTCATCAGGCAGTCTGTTAGAGAGGAGTTGCCAATCTGCTATGGAGCTTGCTGATCACAGTGAAGATCAAAAAGAGGCTGCAGCCTCCTTTGGAGAAAACATGGCTTACCTAAAGCAGGTGAATATTATAATATATCATTTGAAAAATGATAATAGTATCAGTTATGCATAGTGTGCAAGTAATTGTTACCAAATTCCTGTATATAAATATCAGAGTGGCTCTATATAAAGACTATTACAAATTTATTGATATTACAATATAAGGAATGTGTTTGTTGAACTGCATTGATAGAAAAAAATATTGATAAGACCATCACTTAAACTTTACATGCACATACCTTTAAGGAAAAAAATCTTCTCTTAAGCATCATTTCCCCATTTAAATAATGATTTAGTGAAACACTATTTATTTTTTAAGAGAGGAATATGTACATGTATAGCATCCTGATTGAAAACACTATATGTTTTTTTTTATATATGTTAACTTTCCTTGTCCAACAAATTAAAATCTTTTGAAATTTCTCTTTTTTAAAAACTTTTTGCAGATGAAGAATGATCTCAAGCCCTTTGTCAGTGGAGATGATATTTTAGAGGACTTCAGTATAACCTCAGCACCCGTCATCAAATACCTTGAACAATACCCAGAAGAAAGAAACACAATAATGTCATTACAAACCAAAGACTTGAGACAGGTAAGTGTGTATAAAGAGTTCAACAGAATAACATGAAGAAGTTAGGAAGAAGGTAGGAGGCATACACAGGAAAACATGCCTATAACAAAGTGCCAGGGGCGGACAATTTTCCTTCATTTTAAATGTTAAAAATTAAAGCCTAGGGGAATGAAAATTGCTTTGCTATAAGCATCATTTCATAATAAGCAAGTGCATTGTAACCATGTTTTACTGTACATTGATTGACTTTGGACACAGACAAAAATGATCCATACAGTACTGTAGATATACTGTATGTAGACTTAAAACGAAACATGTAGGCAATATATGATTCACAGGTGATACTTGTACTTAAAGTATTAAACTATAGCCTTGTTTTATTCTTTTTTATTTATAGTATATTAAATCAGTTTTCTTTTTCTGACCTTTGTAGATTGTGTCCACCATCAAGTCCTCTAATGTGATAGCCGAGTGCTTGACTTTATGTGATGAGTATGGTGACAAAGCTTTGAAGGCTTTAGATCTGTTTCCTCAGACTGATGCTAAAACGGCCTTAATTAACATTGTAAACGCAACTATAAAGTCCTGACATACACACTGAAAAAGAAACAACTGAAAGTATTATGATCCTTTGTAGCTTTTAAAATACATTTTTATTGTTCCCAATAGCATATGATATAATTGTTAAATACATTGTGTTTATTTAAGATAATATTGAATAATTTTTTTCAGTATTCTACCATGCAAACAAGACATATATTATCTTATATTTATTATTTTTATTTAATTGTTTTTTTTTTTTTTTTTTTATCATCCTATGGTTTTTCTATACTTTTGATCCAGTAAATCCTACATTTTCATGATGATACATCTTGTGGTGATGCACTTCTCAGTGTCAAACTTAATCACTAGTCATATTACATTATACACCTATGATATAGAATTGTAATCTGTGTAATCATATTGTAATAATTTGTTCATGCCCCCGAGGGCCCTTGATTGGTGAATAAACATATATATATATATATATTAAAAAAGGAAGCAGTGTAAACTCTTTAAATACATTTTGTAAAATACTATATATTAAAAAAATTGCCTTGTTTTATTTTCAAAATACTGTTTTCAAATACATTATGCAGTTCTATTATTAATATATTATATTCCCTTTTGAATGATGCAAATAATTTGTTCACACACAATCTTTACAATTCTACTCCCTCCAATATGCCATCAAAGGAATCAACAAGTTAATACAAGTAATATTCGTAATCATAAAAGGGCTCAGACTCTTTCTTGTATTCCATTATATTTCAAGTTAAAGTACACACCTTGTATTTATTACAGTGTACATATTTACCTCGATTATTGTAACCCCCCCCCCCCCCCCCCCCCCCCACACACACACACACACACAAAGGAAAAAAACATTACAGTGCCTAGATAGATTTAAAAAAATCTGAAACATAATTTTGCAACATGTTTTCATGTTCTTCACCCCATAACTACAGACTTCTTAGACTCTTCATCATAGTGGCATAAATAAATTAAAAGTTAATAAAGAGAATCTTTAATTACCCAATTAAAAAGGTCCAAAATTTTGGAAACTCTGATCTTTCAACTGGTATACTAATTTCACAAGTGTTTTTAATTCTGTGGAAGACCTCGCAAAATGATGGGCCAATCATGAAAAAGAAGACAGAAGTTAGACCTCACATTTAAGCAATTCAGGAACAATATATATGAAAATCATTTCATTCATCGAAGTCAGATTCTAAGCGAATAGAGTGTAATATTGGGATAGGACGTAAACAAAAGTATTGACTGTTCCGTTGTCAAACGCTCGGTATTAGAAGTGATAGTCAATTGACTTTTGAACGGAACCTTAAAAAGCGAAGTCCCTGTCACTGTAAGCATTTGTACCATTAAGAACACGTAAAGCTGTATGACTGAGCACTAAGTTTAGGTTTAATTTTGAAGTACTTCACCGGTATAAGGTTAGATTCTCAAATGGAAAATATCCCATGTGATGTAATGTGATGTGATGTGATGTAATGTTTCATTAGAATTCCCGCGTCAGGAAAGTTAATACGGTTACACTCTTGTACACGTATCTTGTATCTTGGTAATGTATCTCATTTTTTGTGATACATTGCATTACATCGGTTTATACACTGTAAAAGATCAAGATTAATACATACATATATATTGTGAAGATCTTACTACCGATATTCAAAATATACCGCCAGTAAGAATATTAAGTGGCAAAATAGGAATCTTCCGAGTAATCGTGTACTCGATCTGAATTAAGTTAGTAACTGCTTACTAAAACTCCGATTAGACAGAATTTATTACTTTAAATACATGTATTTACTAAATAGGTCCATTGACCCAATGTTCACGTAAGGATTTACGAGTAGTATTTGAACTTGGGTACTGTTCTATTTCTCTATATTTCATGCTAAATTTGCTGCATCCTTTTTTAAATCAAAGATTTACAATAATTAATCTTCTTCGCTAGTTGCTTAGGTAGAAAGAGTACAACTAGAGTCTAACACGCAACTGTGGACATTATTCTGAAGCTTGTACTATACCATCTGTTTTTTTTCTGTGGAATTTTAGCAGTTATTACAAATGTATTTGACGAAGAAAATTTGAGTTGAATTTTAAGAACTAGGTCATTCGATAATAAGTTTAAATATGTGGAAACACTCTAAAAAAGTTTTACTTGTTGTTTTTAAAATAAGATATTAGATTAAGAAAAACTAGTAATTATTAGTAATCCATTTAGTCAGAATAGCAAGTAAATGACTATCATGGTTAGTAATTGTAAACATAATTAGTAATAAGGATGAATTCTTTTACTTATAAAATAATTTACTGAGTATCAATAGAATTACTTAAATTATAGGAATTGTTTTACTTTAAGTTAGTAAATGAACTACTCATTTTTGTTAAATTATTATTACTTAATTTAGAGATAATATGCTTTCTATTTACTAAATTTTATGAATTATTACTAAGTAAATGTAATTCTGAAATTAATTAAAATCTAGAATATTATTACTCAAAAGAATACTAAGTAAATGAAATACTTATAATATTTACTAAAATCGACATTATTTACTAGAAACACTGCAAGGTACCGACCCTCTGACATGTGAGTACTACTCACAGACTTCTTTATCAGAGTTCCCTAATTTGGCCCTCTGAATAGTTTAATAGAAGAAATGTACTTGTGATGGAAAAAAATTATACTTTCTATTTCTTTTGCCAATTTCTTTGTAATTGTTTTATTATATATAACAATAAAACATTTGATTCCAACTTCGAAAGCCTTAAAAATTGAATAAGTTGTATCTTTTTAAGGACCATTTTTAAAATGGTTAAACATTTCAAGTACTTAATATCGTATTTTTATTAGTGTGACTTTTTTTTCACATGAAGGTATATTTAGAAGAAAGATAACTCCTCCTCACAGACAATTAGTGATTAGACTACCATATACAAGTAATAACTGATCTAAATTCTCCTTGATTTAGTAAATAAATTTTTGTTTTAAGTAAATCAATTAAATACAGTTCAAACAAGATGTGTTTTTGAAACACCTATGCCCCTGTATGGCAACATAGCAAAGGTTAAACTTTTCTTATATGCAAATTTTAATTATTGGGATTTCTTGAAATCTCCAAGGTCAAAAGGTCACTGTTATTGGTACCTAATGAAAGGTCTTGTCACAAAAAATACATATGTGAAATATGGAAACACTTGCCTCAACCCTTCAGAAATTATGGTCAAGGTTACCAATTTTGAAATGTAGGTCAAACTCCAAGGTCAAGGACAAAGGGACATATTTGGTGGTACCCAAAGAAAGGTCTTGTCACAAGGATGAACTACGTAAAGTATGAATGCACTAACCCTAATCCTTTTAACGTTACAGTCAAGGTTTGCTTTTCAAAAGTGGGTCAAACTCTTAAGGTCATGGTCAAAGGGTTAAAGTTCTTGGTATCCTATGAATGGTCTTCTCAAAATGATTACATATATGTAAGTATGAAAGCACTATTCCTTACCGTTCAAAAGTTATGGCCAAGGTTAAAGTTTTTTTTCACAAGGATGGAAATCTCCAGGGTCAAGGTCAAAATTTCATAGTTGTTGGTATTCAATTAAAGTTCTTTCCACAAAATTATATATGTGAAGTATAAATGACCTGGTATTTACTGTTAAAAAGATTTGGATAAAGAATAAGTTTGGATTTTTGTGTATAAGTGCGTCAAACTTCAAGGTCAAGGTCAAATTTGGTGATAGTCAGAGAAAGGTCTTGTCACAAGGAAAACACATGTGAAATATGAAAGTCATAGCTCCACTAAATCAAAAGTTATAGGCAAGGTTAAAGTTTCTGCAGATAAACAGAGAGACAAGTAGACAGACAGACGGACACGACAAAAGCTATATACCCCCGAAACTTCGTTTACGGGGGCATTAAAATATTAATTATATAGTAAATAGTGGTAAAATGTAAGTAAAGTCCAAGTAATGTTATTACTTTTATACACAAATTTAAGTTAATATAAATTACTAAGTAAAACTTTTTAGTGTGTAAGTAAAACAATTCTTTAAAATACAAAAATCAAGTAAAACATTTGAATCTAGTAATTGACATATATTTCAGTAATTGATTTTAAATTTTAAGTAAATGCTTAGTAATTATCTATTACTTATCTTTGTTATTTCAAGTAAAAAATGACTACTAAGTAAAACTTTTTTAAGAGTGAAGACATATCAATCATAAATCCGAAAGCATTTTTCAACTTTTCACAGTCCGTGTTATCAATGATGCTACTGAGTAAATGTCAAATTATAAATGAACATATTGTTTTAAAGGTTAAAACAATTTCTACTAATTTCGGTTTTGATCATTTATTTGTTTTTACTCAACTAGAAACGTCCTTGAATCGGATCAACTGTGAACATCAGTTTGTTGAATGTTTGTTAAGTAAATATTTGAACGGAAAGGCACATATCTAATAATAATAATGCATAACAAATTATTGACACATACACAAAAAAGTATTGAAAAGCTAAATTGAAGTGTTGGACCAAAATTAAAAGCAAGTTGAAGAAAAAATAACCACCCCCTCCTTTAGAATAAATAAATAAATAAAATAAAAACGAATGAATAAGTAAATGAAAAAAAAAAACAAAACAGCAAAGAAACACACAAACAAGCAAGAAAACAATAAAATAATACTAAATAAATAAAAAATATAAATAACAACGCTTAGTACATTCCCAAAATACATGATAATAAAAAAAAACAACAACAGAAGTCGATTTAAAAAGAATATAACATTTTAGTTTATCTGTATACGAAGAACATACATTGTTCATGTTTTGAAAAAAAATGAAACGGTGTAAATCAGATGGAAACTTAAAAATTCCAAGAAAGTTTTGGGAAATTTGAAAATGCAGGAATTGAGCAAGACAACTTAATAACTGACATATTTTTAACTTGATACACAACCATTCCCCTCGATAAATTAAAGTCCAGCCTTTTTGATATCACTGACAGCTGCTTTTTCAATAAAAATGGAACTCTTTAATTTACCTTGTCATTGGTCATTTGCAAAATTATTGTGTTAGAATACATTCTGATCGTATCCACACCAGTAGTCTTACGTGTAAAATGGTATTGAAAAGGATGCTTGGATTTCTTATCGACAATATCTATATATGTGGTTATTGGAGACCAGGTCTTCTTACAATCTATTGGGATTCCAATGGGTACCAATTGCGGTCCATTATTAGCAGGCCTATTTTTATACCCCCGCTCCGAAGGAGAGGGGGGTATACTGTTTTACCCTTGTGTGTCGTCCGTGTGTCCGTCCGTAACAAATTTTCGTCGCAGTTTTCTCAGCAACTACTCATCGCAGATGCTTGAAATTTTAACACAATCTTCTCTGAGGCATGCCATACGGTGGAATACATTTTTGCTCAAATCCGATGTCAACTTCCTGTTTGTCTGTGCGT